GTAGGTTTAGAAAGTACAGTAAGCAGTTGGTCGAGTTTTATTACTAGTATAACTACTAAATACCTTATTTGTTACTATATTATTATTAAGTATTATTGTATTCAAACTATGCAACTTATTATTTATTGAAAGGGAACCACATTTAGATATATATTGATATTCAAAAAGGTTGTAAGCAAAAACCACACACAGTACCCAACCTGACAAAGGTAAGGTTCTAGGTTAGTGATGAACCTCAGTCAATTTTTGCCATGTTATTATGATTTATAGCTGAAAGTGATGGCTACTAGAATTGGCAAAAGTATCAAAAGGATTTTAAAATGAATATCCATCAAGTTCAAAATGACTGGATACATAAAATTGAAATTATAAGATGAGAGGAAATAATTTTTTGTTTTTTAAAGTACAAGTTTGTACTAATTTTCATGCAATTTGGTTAAATATTTCCACAATGAAAAGGAAAAATTAAAAAGAGAACAAAGACTGTATTTAATGACAATTAGGTAGTGTTTGTAGACTGTTTCTAATTGTGTAACTTTTGTGTGTTTTAATATAATTTGATGTTGAGTCTAACAGCACTTAAAGATTACCAGTAGGATTTAGAATGTTGCAAAAAACATTTTTAAATATACTATTTATAGATACATTATGTATCTGCAATTCAAGTGATCTATTATAGTAATTATTGTTTGATTAAAAAATATATCAATCTTAAGATTTGTAAACATGTCTTTTTGATAGCTTCTGTTTTGTTTTTCTATCTTCTGTGGCTAGGTGTGACTCAATAGAGAAACTGAAGAGTAGACTTCCAACTTTAGAAACAGAACTGAAAGATCATCTTAAATTCAAAGACTTCTATAATTTCACTTTTAATTATGCTAAAAATCCAGGTCAGAAAGGTTTGGGTAAGTGTTTTTGTTTGATAAAATAGGATATTTGTTTGTCAATGGACTTTTGCAAAATTGTAATAATTTTGTTCAAGCTCCAAATACAATGTTTACCAGACAAACATTACTGGTTGTAATATACTTAATAGACAAAATATGACACTGAACAGCAAAAATGTAATATGCTTATTTAGATGTCTAACATAGAAGTCTTTGAAAATATGCAAAGTAATTTTAATTTTAAGATTAAAAATACTTTTACGCATCAGAAAATTTTCAAATTTCACATGTGAAATCTTTATAATGTCCAGATAGTTAGGAAACATTTTCTAAGAAAAACTTTATATTTTATCTGTTATTTTCACTAACAAATATCTGTACGGGTTTGGTCGATTTGACTGATTTCGTTTTATATTTGAAAATAGCTGAGAAAACCACTAGGGGGATATTCTGAGCTTTTGATTGGTTATTCGCAAGTCATATATAGAAGTAAGTGAGCGGGGCCACTGCATTTGATTCAGTAATGAGAGATATCTTGGCAAAAAGAAAAGATAGGATGTTCTTATTTTATATTCTAGCTTGTCAATATTGGTAATTTGAGTTCCTAATTCATACAAAACTATAGAATTTGTATTTTGACATGACAAACATCTAAATTGAACCAGTGCTGCATTCATCATACCACGTGACACACAAAAATCGATGTTTAGGTGCGTTTTATTAATATTTACTTTTGAATTAAGAAATTGAGTAAAATATGGTACTAAATAGATGGAAATCACCCAGTCAAGCAGGTTATCACATATTAGTACCAAATTCATTAAAATTTCATCAGCAGAATGCAAAACTGCTTACAAACGAATAGTACTTTTATTAAAATGCAAACAGTTATCTGTTGTTACTTAACTCTGGCTGACTTGAACCATACAATACAAGCTCCAAGACTAATCAGATGCTTGCAACTGAAGCTAGATGTTGTGTCATTGTACAGGGGATTGGAAACAAACTTCATATGGCTGGCCTGTGTATCGGATACCCAGTGAGATATGGACCAACAACACTTAAAACAATATTTGTTTTACAGGTGAATTGGAACTCATTTTGTTCCAGTAAACAAACTTATCATCATTTATTTAAAGAGAATTTGAAACAATATACACTTTATTTGCTTATAGAAACATGGTGGATATGGTGGTGGTGGAAGTATTTTATGGGCTGTAATAACTATTTTTAATCATACCTATGAAAAGGTACCATTACTCTTTCCATACTGGGGTGGGGATTCACTGATATACCTATTCTCACAGTGCAAATACTGCATTAAATATAGTATAGATTTTCTAGGTAATATTTAGTTTCTGCTTAGCAAATTTATATGATTTGATACAGTGTTTCTATAATTTTTTAAGTTGTGAACTTTTCAAATTTTGTTGTGAGACCCTGTTTTGATAGAACATTAAAAATTTTTTTTCTTATTAGAATTTGAATTTATATATTGTACATCATTATGTTCCATTTTATGTATCTAGTCGTTTTCAACTTGTTTGATATTCGTTAACATATTTCTTTTGATAATAACTTTTATTTTGCCAGCCGAGGAAGTCCCCACTTCTGACTATAAGTCATAAAAAACATGGCAAAAACTGACAAAGATTTATTCATGCTCTAGAACCTCACATTTCAAAGTGACCTCACCTCATTGTTACATTTGTTAGGCTAAGTATTGTGGATTTTGCCAAAAGTATTTTTCATCCAAATCAATTTATACCTAATACATATAGTTTGTTTTCAGCAAACAATAAATTATTTTATTTGTGTTTGTTGTGAGTACAGTATGTATAGAAATAATATTCAATAGAAAAAGGATTTGAGTCATCTGGACAGTTTACTGTTGTTTGCCATACTTACTAAACCTAACTAAACTTATGTCTTGTTACAGAAGAAAGTACTTACTAAACCTAACTAAACTTATGTCTTGTTACAGAAGAAAGTACTTACTAAACCTAACTAAACTTGTGTCTTGTTACAGAAGAAAGTTCTTACTACTTAGTACTTACTAAACCTAACTAAACTTATGTCTTGTTACAGAGGAAAGTTCCTGTAGTCTTCAAACAGATATAGTTTAACATAAAAATATTTTCATGAATGAAAATAATGTCAAAAGAAACTAAAAAAATCTTGAAGTATTTTATACTCACATCAGAATCGTTTGTTCACTTCCACAAGAACTCTAAGTAGCCAGTATGTAGACAGACCACTAGTTATTGCTAAAACTACTTTATCAATTTTAAATTGATATAGATAGATTAGAATTTCTTCTATCCAATCATTTTTAGATGTTGGCTCTAGCTATTTTCAAGTCTATGCTTCATTAGTAATTGTTCAGAACACATGCTGTGAGGTTATAAAAGGTTTGCAACAAAAACCATTGACGGGGAAGGAACATCTTGTGAAAAACAAGGCATGAATCATATTTTAAAGGAATAATAGATTTTATAAAATATAAAGCTGTAATTGAGCTGTAATATTATTTGAAAATATCTATCAACATGCTTACAGAGCTTCCTGTAGCTGTGCAGAAATGAAAGTTGTAATATTCTTATCCTTTTTTTAATGAATTATTCTAAATAAATTTTATATAATAAAATATTGTTCACAGAGATTCCTGGATATGTGCAGACATGAATGTTGGAATATTCTTTTTTTTATGAATTATTTTAAATAAATGTTATATAATGATAAGATATCATTTATAAAGTATTTTTGAGCTAAACATTGTTGAAATGGAGTTAGAATTGTATTTTTACTTAAATTTTCAAAATTGATATGGAGGTATGCACCTATACCTGAAAAGTGTGCACATTGGTCTTGATAGTTTGTCACACAACAGGAACAAAATATTCCAACACTGTATTAGCATTTCTGGGGAAGTCTGCCCTAACTTCGGTCTAAATGGCATTAATACCCTCACCTACTTTGTTAAATTTGACAACACATTCCTTGATGAAGAAGAAGTGACCAAGTTGAGCGGTCTGTTCTTCCATCAGACTTCAATCCCTTTGAGAATGTATGAGATGCTCTTGGGAAATGTGTCACTTTTTGTCAAGGACTCTGGTCACTAAAGATGCTCTGAAGATAACTTTTTACAGAGTAGTAGTTGAGGATGAACTATGACCTCATTAATACTATGATTATTAGCATGCAACATTGGTGCTAAGCTGCCCTTGCTGTTTGCAGTGACTGCACTGCATATTGAAGTGAAATGTCATGATCTGTAAAACAACATTTATCAAATATTAATTTACAAGCTTAGGCAGAATGACCAATTGTTTGCTTTCAATTTACTTGCCTGACTTACATAAAAAGAAACTGTGGGGTTGATATTATTTTATAATAGTGATTTGGCCTTTTCATACCTATAACATTATAAGTTCATTTATCTTTAATTTGTTTTGAGCAGTGTATTTTTTTTATGATTCTGTAGAAGATTTATTGGTTTTTCTGTTGCAGATTTAGACATGGCTCTAGCCTACTGGAATATTGTACTTTCTGGAAGGTTTAAGTTCCTTGATCTCTGGTGTCACTTTTTACAAGTAAGTATACATTTATGTAACCAACCAGCATGTTATAGTTGAATGTATGTCTTTTTAATAGAAATCCATGGTATGTTTGTTTACCAATATTATACATATATCTTGCTGTCATTATATATATATATATATATATGTGTGTGTGTGTGTGTGTGTGTCTGTGTCTGTGTAGATATATATATATATATATAATCAATTATTCTAATGTTATTAAATACATTACTTGTCAATAGATGATTAAATCAGCACTATAAACAATAATGAACTTAATACAAAACAAGAACAACATTATAATGAGACTTCAAAATCAAAAATTATTCTTCCATTACCAGTCTTCATTGTCATCTTTAAGTCATAACCGATAATATCTGTGGCCATAGCACCCGAAACATTGGAGTTATTACATCTATCAGATGCATTTCTTCAAGCAAATAGCTAATACAGAGTTCATTAACCATTAACTTAGTGTGGTGTTTCCTTATAGGTAGCTGTTAAATAGCATGTTTTAAGAATTTTTAATTATTGTTTGCAAGCTGAATGGTAGTGATCTCATGGATCACCTGTTCTATCTGCCCATGATGCAGGTAGGGAGATGTCCTGGTCCACAGAGGGAAAACAGGAAAGAAGAGAAACTTGCTATAAATATGGACAGATTGGTCATTGGTGGCATAGATGTTCTTTCCCTGTGCCTGCAAAACTTGCATGTTTTTAAACAGCCAAAACAATGGACAACAATCTCAAGGAAGATGACAAGCTGTAAATTTTGTTAGATTTGCTAGTTAAACTAGTGAGCTCTGGATCAGATTTGTAAAAAAAACAGCCATCTGTCTGTTTCTTCTGGTGTGATGGTTAGTTCAACCTCTACAGGGCTAAGTGTGGCTTTGTATGTGCCTGTAAAAGTATGTGAACGTGAGGTAGAATTTTATTTGGTAAAGGAATGGATGACACTTTGATCTTGCAGTGTGTCAGTCATTTTTAAGTAAATTACTGCTTTGGCCAGTAAATGTGCTCTATCTTTGCCTGCCAATGGTGAAATGCTAGCAGTGAATGGAGAAGCTTGACTCAGCATCAGAGTGAGTGCCATCATGCGTGATAGTTGTCATATTGGATTTTGGCTTAAATATTTTGGCATTTTATATTTGGATATCTTATAGAAATTATCTGTTAGTGTAGCCTGAGCACCAGATGGACTGTGGCTCTGTTATGAAATTATTAACTGTTGAACAAAATATGCACAAGAGCAGTAAACCACATGAGTGTAAATAGATGACAATGTTTCACAAATTATGTTTTATGGTGTTTTGCAAACACAATTTTGATTTGGACCACTAGCTAACATTGTGGTTGAAATTACATCTGAGACTTATTGTTTTCCTTTGAAAAGTTAAGCTGCACTTTCTTAGACAGTTATTTCTCGAAAAGCAAGATATATTTTAGTTAGTTTACATTTATAGTAAACAGTAGAGGTACCTGCTAAAACAATCTTTGGTAGATTGCATGAAAAATGAGCAGTTGAAACTAACACTCTAACTAGTGTTACTTCAACTACACTAACAGACATATACATAGTTTCCAGTACATCTGAAGTCAATGATTGAGGAGTATACGAACAATCTTAACTCAGACCAAAAAATGCACTTGGAAAGATACTGACAGAATTCATCGATGTTTTTGTTGGAATGAATATTAGGAACATGCATTCTATAAAGCAACTACCATAAAGGCCTCTTTGGAGCACCATGGATGTATCTAGCATTGAGATATACTGGATGCTGAAGGATGGAATAAATCAACCTTCCATGAGTGCCTGGTCACTGTCAGTAGTTATCATTAGAAGGTGCACTGAGGTTCTGTGTTGTACTTTAGGTGGGTTAACTTGTTTATACTTGTCAATGTGTTTTCATTCTATGCATCAACAAATGCCTTGATGCGTTGGAAGGATCCTCACTGCTTTATTTACTAGATCTTACTTACAGCTACTTTCAGGTTGAACTTGAGGATGAAAGAAGAGCTAAAACTGCTGTCAGCATTTAAGAAGGGCTTATACAAGTCTTTCATTATGCCATTTGGCCTCTAATATACCTGTTCCTGTTGAGCAGCTGAAGAAACTTGTATTACATGGCTTGCAGTGGGAATGGTGTCTTATCTACATCAGTGACATTTCTGGCTGCAGTTGAAAACCTAGGCAATGTATTTCAATCTTTGTGACAAACAGGTGTGAAACTGAAGCCATAGATGCATTAATGCTAATGCATATAGAATGTCTTTGATATATAGTGAGTTATGGACAGAGTGCTTATAGATTCTTCTAAAATAAAAGCAGTGACAAACTGGTTTGAACTAACCTTGCTGTCTTATTACAGATGCTTTGGCCAGTTTTTCTATAGTAACAGTTCTGCTTTCAATGTTAAGTAAGGTTAAATCTAATCTGAGATGGATTGAGGTCTATGCCAACTCATTTTATTCACTGAAAGGTGCATTGGTTGAGATGCCAAAGTTAATTTATTTGAAGAGAGATATTTCATTCATCCTATACATGGATGCTGGATACAGTAGAATCAAAGCAGTGTTGTCAACAAGCACATGATAGGGTAGAGCACGTTATAGCATATACAAGCTAAATGCAAATGTCCACCAACTGCCACTTCTCTATGGTTGAAAAATGTTTTCTTATGGTCTTATTAGTTATCAAGCACTTCACCTTCATGGGTGTGGTAGATCATGTGTCATTGAAGTGGTTGATGAACTTTGGAGAAGTGGAAGGTAAGATCCTGTGTTGGATCACTATATTGTAAGCATAAACCCTCTCTATACAATACTGATGTACTTTCTTTTTTATAAAGTAGTACTTGTGTGTTTGTAATGTTCAGATCCTGAACTTGCTGCTGCTATGAAATCTAAAGTCCTAACTGTAATGAAAAACCATTTAACTAGTAAATATTAAACTGAAGAATGGATACTGAATATGGTGGAGATGCTACTAGAAAAGGGGTTAAAGGTACCAGATCTGGCTTGGCTTCTACTTGCCATGCAACAAGATGAAGTGTGACCATCAAAGATTGGTGAATATAGCTTGGAAGCATATAACCTGTCATAGTTGTTTCCTAATAAGAGATGTGAAAGTGAGTGCTGTACCCAGGCTCATATGCAAAATTTTTGAAAGAGGGGGTTCTCATTTATGAGATCAAAAGCCAACAAATATTGTGCTAAGTACAATCAGCATGCAAAGCATGCTAATGCTATGGGGTTATGGGGGCATATGACTATTTCGAGCCAAAAAATGCTAATGCTAGAAGAATGTAGACTATGTAGAAAATGCCAAATTCCATAAGTGGCTATGCTATAACTATATAAGCATGATTTTTTTTTACATCACAAAAATATGGGTTTGGCTGAAACCTTTCAAACCCCCCATGTGTACGTGCAAAATACCAGTGTGGTGCCTGACCTATGTATTATGCAGCTGGTGGTCCCATTAGCTCTTAGATCCAAAATTCTCCAAATGTTACATGATACATGTAGTGGAGAACACAAGGGAGTATTTAACACTACAGTCAACCCATGGAGATGGTTTTAATAGCTGCTTTCCTACAGCGGTGTAGTTCTGTGATGTAAACACTGCAGTGCCTATGCAGCTTAGAGAAAGAATTGTCTGCGCCAGGAAAAACTTCATTAGCAAATTGTAGACTTTTCAAATATCTTTCCCAGAACCAATGACTGTAATCATTGTATCCTGGAGCAAATCAATTACTTAATAAATGAACTGAAAGGTACGCAGTAGCTGATATATTGGATCAAACAGCCACTTATAAATTAGCTGAGCAGCAGGTGTCTATCTTAGAGTAACGTAGGAGATCCATACTGATCAAAGAGCAAACTTTAGCAGTCATCTGTTTGCCAAGTTTTGCAAAATATTCGATGAGATGAAGACTTGTACTTCACCTTATCATTTTCATTCCAATGGTTTTAGTAAACAAATAGTTCAAATTCCAAAGATTATGTCTTGTAAGTTTGTCAGTTTAGATTGATCACCTGCCATATGTAATGATGGTGTACCACACAACAGAGCAAGAGTCTACTAGCTGTTCTCCAAACATATTAACGTTTGCACAAGAAGCTACTCTCTCACTCTCTCTGTATGGTCCTCCTAATAGGTAAAGAACTGTCATAATGTCCACAAAAATATTTGCAGCATTTATGTTCCACATTAGTTGACTAAGTTGATGTGCAACAACTCAAACATCAACAGATAGGAAAAGCTGCCATGATACAGAAGAGAATGTATGACAAGATGGTAAAAGGAGTATCAGTTTGAACAAGGAGATTTCCTGTGGCTCTGTTACATACCAATAGTGTGGACACCACTCAGACCTGATTGGAGTATACCTTGTATTACAGCAACACATTTCATCAAGCTATGAGATTCATCTGTTGTGTGGCACAAGAAAGTGTATTGTACTTGCTGGCAAGCTGAGACTATGTTACTGAAGAGCTTCAGTAACACTGACTTGACCTAGAAGTAGGGAGTGAATGAGTGAAAGTGTAAGACAGTGATGTGGAACCAGTTAGTGCTACTTCAATCCAGTTGAAGAAGAGGAGGAGGATAGCATTGAACATTCTTTGATTGTTCCAGACAAGTCAGAGGAGGAAGAGACACTGTCCAAATATGTGAAGCACTGTACAACATAACCACAGTGGTTAAATACGGCTTAAAACCCTTATTTTTCAAGATGTCATGTAGAATTTACAAGCTAGTTTATGTTGTCCACTCAGTTACAGTTGTTAAAAATAGTTCATGATAATAGCTAGTGAACTTAGAATAAAAAGTTGAAAACATATGCTGTACACATATATGCACATGCATTTAGTGGCATGGTAAACATTTGTAAAATAACTATTTGAAGCGGACAAGTCTATTAAAACTCCTTTACCTGAGAGAATAAACTTGTAAGAAAGAAAATACTTCTAAAATATAGCCATGTTTTTGAAATACTTAATTAAAA